TTGTTCTGAGTATCGCCCAAAAATCAAAGGAGGGCATCCCGGCCTATCCATTGGTGACGTTGCAAAGAAGCTGGGAGAGGTGTGGAATAACACTGCTGCAGATGACAAGCAGCCTTATGGAAAGAAGACTGCTAAGCTGAAGGAGAAATGTGAAAAGGACATTGCTTGCTGCAGACCTAAAGGAAAGCCTGATGCTGCCAAAAAGGGAGCTGGCAAGGCTGAGAAAAAGCAAGAAAAAGAAGGAAGAGGAAGAACACAAGGAAGATGAAGAAGAGGAGGAGGAAGATAAAGAAGAAGATGATGATAAATAAGTTGGCTCTAGCACAGTTTTTTTTCTTGTCTATGAAGCATTTAACCCCCTTGTACACAACTCACTCCTTTTAAAGAAAAAAAATTGAAAATAAAGGAAATGTACTTAATTTTTTCCACCAAGCACCATGTTGATGCCCCCAGATCCCGTTCAGATGACCTAGTATTACATACAAATATTATCATCTTCGATAAGCAGCAGGCGTGAACAAATTTAGGAGATAGCATGCTAAGAAAATTGGGCTTAGTCTGTCAAACATTTTTTGAGCACTTACTACATAAGCATTGTACTAGGCCCTCTAGAAGAATATTATATTGATGAGGTTATCCTTAACAGAGCTTTCTATCTAATGAGATAAACAAGTAACTTTAATGCTTAGCAGGATGCAAGGGGTGAGGCACACTTACTGAGCACTGAATATATATAGCAGGAGCTTGATAGTCTTCATTTCATTCATCCCCACCACAGCCCTTTGATTAGATACTATCACTCTTCCAAAGGTGGGGAAAACTGAGGCTCTGAGAGGTTATATGACTTGTCCAAGGTCACACAGAGTAAAACATTGATTATACATAAGCCTAGGTCTGTTTGACTCTACATGCTCTTTCTCTAAAATGAATCATGTTCCTTCTCAATAAAAGTAGTAGCATGCTGATTGCAGTACATTGAGCTCCATAGAGACAGCACTGGGGCATGTGTGAGCTGGCCAGACACTGGGTGACTGTATGTTCGCTGAGGAAAAATAATTAAACATGGGCAAAGGTGATCCTAAGAAGCCGAGAGGCAAAATGTCATCGTATGCTGTCATCGTATGCAAACCTGCCGGGAGGAACATAAGAAGAAGCATCCAGATGCTTCAGTCAACTTCTCAGAGTTTTCTAAGAAGTGCTCAGAGAGGTGGGAGACCATGTCTGCTAAGGAGAAAGGAAAATTTGAAGACAGGAAAGCCTGATGCTGCCAAAAAGGGAGCTGGCAAGGCTGAGAAAAAGCAAGAAAAAGAAGGAAGAGGAAGAACACAAGGAAGATGAAGAAGAGGAGGAGGAAGATAAAGAAGAAGATGATGATAAATAAGTTGGCTCTAGCACAGTTTTTTTTCTTGTCTATGAAGCATTTAACCCCCTTGTACACAACTCACTCCTTTTAAAGAAAAAAAATTGAAATGTAAGGCTGTGTAAGATATGATAAACTGTACAGTGTCTTTTTTGTATAGTTAACACACTACCGAATGTGTCTTTAGATAGCCCTCTCCTAGTGGTATTTTCAATACCCACTAACCTTGCCTGGTACAGTATGGGGGTTGTGAATTGGCATGGATTTAAAGCAGGTTTTTGTTGATGCACAGCACAAATTAGTAATATATGGGGATGGTAGCTCTTTCATCTTCCAGTTTTCTCTGACTCAGCTTATACGAAATAATTGTTGTTCTGTTAACTGAATAGCACTCTATAATTGCAAAAAAAAAAAGTTGCAGCTGTTTTGTTGACATTCTGAATGCTTCTAAGTAAATGCAATGTTTTTTATTAGTATTGTTGTCCTTTTCATAGGTCTGACATTTTTCTTCTTGAGGGGAAGCTAGTCTTGCTTTTGCCCATTTTGGATCATATAATTACAGTGTTTATCTTTTCATATAGTTAGCTGATAAAAAGCTTTTGTCTACACACCCTGCATAATTGTGATGAGGGTAATGAGAGTTGAATTGAGACAGTTTTCATCCATAACAAACTCAAAGTCTTGGTCAGTTGATAATTTTCACATAGCCCAGTCACATTTACAAAGTGAAAAGTAACCACTCTACTCACAGCATGGGATTATTAGAATCAAACATTTGAAAGTCTGTCCTTGAAAGACTAATAGAAAAGTATGTTCTAATCTTTACATGAAGACTTGACATTTTTTTTAACTCCCATTGCCATGTAATGGCAGTTATGTTTGCAGTTCCCACGTTAACAAAGGTCTGAGAGTGTATTCCCAAAAGCGTGAGCTTAAAATATCAGACTGCCGTATGAAGTTTTTTGTTGACATTAGTCCTGGCAAAGGCTCTGAAGAAAAAAAAAGTGCTGACTAAATGTCTTATTTATCTAAATATGGATTGCTTAGGAAACTTGAGACTCCATTAAAGGTATTTTTAATTAATTGGGCCAACTTTTAAAATTGTATACCACATTTAAGATTGAGTATATTTTCCAAATTATAGTTTTCCCCTTTATAAAATCAAATAGACATGAGGGAAGTAAACTTTGTATCACAGATTGAATTGTCCAATTTCTTTGAATTTGATTTTTATAAAACTCAAAACTCATTAGGGTCAGATGTTTATCCGCTTAGCTGTTTAGGAAACAATTTGACAATTTTGTGGTTTTTGACATTATCATTCTCTTACGGTGCCAGTGTTTTAAAATAGCGTTCTTGTAATTTTACACGCTTTTGTGATGGAGTGCTGTTTTGTTATATAACTTTGACTTGGATATTTGCATTTGCATTTGTTTATGTAATTTCAGGAGGAATATTGAACATCTGAGTCCTGGATGATACTAATAAACTAATAATTGCAGAGGTTTAAAAAAAAAGTAGTAGCATGCTGGGGTGACTAAGCAAGAAGGCGTTAAGGATGCTGGCTGGTATAGATAGCAGAAAGAGCTTCAGGGAGGAGGTAGCAATTGAGCTGAGACGTGAAGAAATATGAGTTCAATAGGGAATTCATGAGGAAGAAAATGTCAGACTAAGGAAACTAAAAGTGTATGAGCTCTTCATTCAACACATTTATTAGAATCAAACATTTGAAAGTCTGTCCTTGAAAGACTAATAGAAAAGTATGTTCTAATCTTTACATGAAGACTTGACATTTTTTTTAACTCCCATTGCCATGTAATGGCAGTTATGTTTGCAGTTCCCACGTTAACAAAGGTCTGAGAGTGTATTCCCAAAAGCGTGAGCTTAAAATATCAGACTGCCGTATGAAGTTTTTTGTTGACATTAGTCCTGGCAAAGGCTCTGAAAAAAAGAAAAAAGTGCTCCCTGTAAATGTCTTCTATTTATCTAAATATGGATTGCTTAGGAAACTTGAGACTCCATTAAATGTATTTTTAATTAATTGGGCCAACTTTTAAAATTGCATGCCACATTTAAGATTGAGTATATTTTCCAAATTATAGTTTGCCCCTTTATAAATCAAATAGACATGAGGGAAGTAAACTTTGTATCACAGATTGAATTGTCCAATTTCTTTGAATTTGATTTTTATAAAACTCAAAACTCATTAGGGTCAGATGTTTATCCGCTTAGCTGTTTAGGTGCTAAGAGCCTAGAATGAAGGAAAGATTCTACACACCTGAGATAAAAAGATTGACAGTGAGCCAGTGGCTCCCTGAAAGAGGGGAGCGACCAGAAGGTACGTGGAGGAGTAAAGATCTGCAAGTGACTTGGAGAGTAAGGAGGACCACAACCCAAATGAGAGTGTCTACTGGAGAGGGAAGGTTTCAGTGAGAGCCAGGAAATTGAGGAAGGATCTGTGTCTGGATTAAGGGTATATCTGAAGTTGTTTGCAATTAACTAGAGACTCTGAAGAGCATAGTGGAAAAGGTTGGGAGAGGACAATTACATCTGTTTCAGGGAGAAGGAAGCACAGAGCCACAGGGGTTGGAAAAGATGGTGACTGGAAAAGTATTTTTCAGTTTGGGTGAAAAAACATAGGTGAGTCATGGGGGCAATAACTGGCCTAGACATTTCCACAGAACTGGACCTGGGAGTCTCTGATGGATTGAGTTCACTGATGAATTGGAGACTTGGCCCTCTCTGGAACAAGCCAGCTGCTCCTGGAAATCCTAGATCGGGGAGGCTGGCAATGGGGTTGTGTGGTTCCCAGGAGCCTCACCAAGTGCTGGATGTAAAATTAGCTCCAGGTGGATGGAAAGCCTTTCTGGATGACAGCCTTCACAGCTTGTCATAACTGTGACTCCAAGGGAATTAAAACAAAACAAAACAAACAAAAAAAAAAACGGCATCATTGATTTTAAAATAACTCTAGGTGAGATAGTTGCCTGTACTTTCTGTTTCCTTTTACTCAACTTACACTTCTCAATCCACAGAGATCTGATTTCTACCCATTTCACTTCATCAGAACAGCTCTGGCTAAGCTCACTAGTGGCTGCCTCCACGTTGTTTGTTCCAATGGGCATTTTTCAGCCCTCATCTGACATCTCAGTCCTACTGACCAACCCTTCTTCAAGAAACACGTTCTAATTCCACAGTGACATTGCCTCTCTTGGTTATGCTCCTACCCCTTTAGCCACTCATTTTCTCTGTCTCTAAAATCCTCTTCTTCTTAGCCTTTAAAATGTGGGACTAGCTTAATCCTTGATTATAGGCCCTTTACCCTTGTCATTTTATCTCCCCTATATGAACATCTGAGTCCTGGATGATACTAATAAACTAATAATTGCAGAGGTTTAAAAAAAAAGTAGTAGCATGCTGGGGTGACTAAGCAAGAAGGCGTTAAGGATGCTGGCTGGTATAGATAGCAGAAAGAGCTTCAGGGAGGAGGTAGCAATTGAGCTGAGACGTGAAGAAATATGAGTTCAATAGGGAATTCATGAGGAAGAAAATGTCAGACTAAGGAAACTAAAAGTGTATGAGCTCTTCATTCAACACATTTACTTAACACGTATGTGTTGAACCCAGCTCCAGGTACTAAGGAGACAGAGGTGAGCAAGACAAACAAATACATTCCTTTCTTCACGGCACTAAGGTTCCAATAGAGGAAAGAGGCCTAAACAAACACTATAACAAATTATAGACGCTACAATTGTGGCTGCAAAGTGTGCAGAGCATCAGGCTGAGAGTGATGTTGAGGCAGGGAGAGAACAGGAATCTTCTAGATGAAGTGATCAGGGAGGGCTGTCTGGGGTGTTGATATTTGAGCAGGGAGCTGAATGGAATGGAGAGCAAGCTGTGCCGATGTCCACAAGAGGAGCTCTCCAGATAGAGGCCATGGGGAGGGAATGAGCTTGCTCAGAGGATTCCAGTATGGTGGAGGCAGGCTGAGCAAGGGGGGCTTAGTAGGAGATGAGGCAGGGAGATGAGCAGGGGCTGATGCCGGAAGGCTTTGGATTTCAGTCTCAGAGTGATGAAAGGCCCCAAGAGGGTTCTGAGAAGGAGCATAGCATGCTATCATACATTTTAGGGAGATTCCCCTGGGAGCTGAGTGGAAAATTGATTATGGGGGCAAGAGGAGAAAGAGAAAGCTAACTTCTGAGACAGTAGCAGTCCAGGTAATAGACTATGGTGGCCTGGAAAAGGTGCAAGCAGGGCAAGTGGTCTGCTTTGGAATATATTTGGGTGATAGGTCCTACCAGGTTTCTGGTCTGTTGAGGAAGAAAAGGTGCTAAGAGCCTAGAATGAAGGATAGATTCTATACACCTGAGATAAAAAGATTGACAGTGAGCCAGTGGCTCCCTGAAAGAGGGGAGCGACCAGAAGGTACGTGGAGGAGTAAAGATCTGCAAGTGACTTGGAGAGTAAGGAGGACCACAACCCAAATGAGAGTGTCTACTGGAGAGGGAAGGTTTCAGTGAGAGCCAGGAAATTGAGGAAGGATCTGTGTCTGGATTAAGGGTATATCTGAAGTTGTTTGCAATTAACTAGAGACTCTGAAGAGCATAGTGGAAAAGGTTGGGAGAGGACAATTACATCTGTTTCAGGGAGAAGGAAGCACAGAGCCACAGGGGTTGGAAAAGATGGTGACTGGAAAAGTATTTTTCAGTTTGGGTGAAAAAACATAGGTGAGTCATGGGGGCAATAACTGGCCTAGACATTTCCACAGAACTGGACCTGGGAGTCTCTGATGGATTGAGTTCACTGATGAATTGGAGACTTGGCCCTCTCTGGAACAAGCCAGCTGCTCCTGGAAATCCTAGATCGGGGAGGCTGGCAATGGGGTTGTGTGGTTCCCAGGAGCCTCACCAAGTGCTGGATGTAAAATTAGCTCCAGGTGGATGGAAAGCCTTTCTGGATGACAGCCTTCACAGCTTGTCGTAACTGTGACTCCAAGGGAATTAAAAAAACAAAAAACAAAACAGCGTCATTGATTTTAAAATAACTCTAGGTGAGATAGTTGCCATAACTGTGACTCCAAGGGAATTAAAACAAAACAAAACAAACAAAAAAAAAAACGGCATCATTGATTTTAAAATAACTCTAGGTGAGATAGTTGCCTGTACTTTCTGTTTCCTTTTACTCAACTTACACTTCTCAATCCACAGAGATCTGATTTCTACCCATTTCACTTCATCAGAACAGCTCTGGCTAAGCTCACTAGTGGCTGCCTCCACGTTGTTTGTTCCAATGGGCATTTTTCAGCCCTCATCTGACATCTCAGTCCTACTGACCAACCCTTCTTCAAGAAACACGTTCTAATTCCACAGTGACATTGCCTCTCTTGGTTATGCTCCTACCCCTTTAGCCACTCATTTTCTCTGTCTCTAAAATCCTCTTCTTCTTAGCCTTTAAAATGTGGGACTTGCTTAATCCTTGATTATAGGCCCTTTACCCTTGTCATTTTATCTCCCCTATATAGGCAAGCCTTTCAGATTTCAACTGTCTGATATAATGGTGGCATGTGAAAAATGCTATGGGAGTGTTCAGAGGTGTACATGACTAAGGCATGTGAGAGGTTGCTTGAGTTGGGTCATTGCTACCCAAGTGGAACATGTGGCCTTAGGGTGGATAATGAAGCCCAAGGAGAGTGTATGTAGAGGGAGAAAAGAGAATTTAAGCTAGACAGAACTCTGGGGAAACTTTTCACTGGACTAGAAGATGAATAGGCACCAGTAAGTAAAGGTACTTGCTGTTATCTTTCATCATGATTACCATTATTCTACAAGTTTTGTCTGTACATTTCAAGACCTGTATTTATTATCTATGCATTAGCTTTTTATTAGCATTTCCTACGTTCCACCCATTGCCTTTGTTCAAAGCACTCATGCCTACTTTTCCCTAAGCATACTACCAGGCTTTGGTTCATCAGTTCAATCCATCAACAGCAATTCTTATTGATTGCTCAAGGATGTGTGGTGATGTTGAAAGCACTATAACCCATCTTTATCCTCAGAGATTTTGATGGAGTATTGCATCAAATATTATTATTGCAATAATTCTACAACTTATTGTTGTGAGCTTTTCCATCAACATCTATTAGAAAAGACACAAAGGGACCATATGTTTATCATTTATTTTATCAAGGGAACAACTACAGAAGATCACTTCCAGCAATCAACAATAATTGTTACATGCAACTAAAAGGAGTATGTTCTACTTTGGAAAATCCACAATCTAGCCAACACTCATGTATATGCAAGGCAGTTCTCTACAGTGTATCTCACAGAAACCCTGCTGTTAAGCTTATTGATCCACTCTAATGAATTACCTGTTTTGTTGACATCTGCACTCTCCAATTCCAAAGCTAACTACATATTTCCTTGATAGCCCGTCTTTCCATTTTCTTTTATTTTCAGACTGTTTTTCAGAGAATCCATTCTAAAGGAAGTAACACTCATCTTGGGAC